CAGAGATGAGTTAGTTTGACTTATCCATATTTATCCAGGGACCAACACAGGACCTGGGCTGTAGTAGGTACTCAGCAAATATTATGAACGAGACGTCTGTGTTTGCAGATAATAGAAATTACTCAAACCCTGAGCTGTTGTGAGCTTGGGCTCTATTAAGTGAATACTTAGCACATATTGGTATTAGTAGGCTCAGTTTCATCTAAAAGTACTCATTGACTTTCCTGAAGCAGACATTTTAACTTATTTCATTAAGGAAGTGACTAGAAAGAGCCCATTTAAAATGACCGCCTTTCATTGTGTCGAATGGTATTTTATACCATTTCTAAAATGAAAAGGAGAGGAATTGCCCAGACTTTTTAGGGCCTGTAGAACAAATGTCCAGTAGCTAAAAGGTTTGCAACAGAAAAGGGAAAGGCAAGTCCTTAGATGTTTTCCCATAATTTTCTTTTGTTTTTACTGTGTCCTTTCCATCTATGACCATGACATCATTCTTATAGTTCTTACTCAGATACTGTAATGGCTTTGACATTGTAGCATTCAGATAATAGTAAGGAGGAGAGTGTGAAATGCAAATAAAACCTAGCTGAGGATTCCAGGTGCTAATTCTATGTCTGCCTCAACAGCTTGTTATTCTGGTCACTTAATCTAAAGGAGCTTCTGCATTTCTTCTGTAAAATCATCGGTTGGGTGCACTAAATTCAACGATCATTAAGGTTCTTCCATCTCTGAAACTGAGTCCTGGTTTGTACGTGTTTTTACATGCAGTTATGTATGTGCATTTAATGTGTGTACTCAGGTCTTTTCTTATCTCCCTGTTGGTGCTCATGTATTTTACAAATGGTGAGTAGTTGCAATACAGTTGCTTCCTCACAGTGATTGGTTGAGGCAGTTAATGGTGCCAGCAGCCTGGCACTTTCCACTATGGTTTTTAAATCAGTTCCAGGTACTTTCTGTGGCCGTCAACTCTCTTTTGCAAAAGGAGCTGAAGAGCTAAGAGACTGAGAGATAGAATTGATGAGACCATTAACACAAGGTTGGAAGTAATGTGTGTTACAGTTCATGGTGTACTGCCAAATAATTGTTCTGTCGTTGAATTTTTTTGGCCTTTTTTGTTTGTCTCTTTGTTTGTTTGTTTTGAGAGGGAGTCTTGTTATATTGCCCTCGCTGAACTTCAGCTAGCAATCCGCCTGCCTCAACTTCCTGAGTGCTGAGATTACAAGCTTACACCACCATGCTCAGCTTAGCCATTGATTTTCTTAGTTAGGCAGTAAACGGATTCAGCTGATTCTAATTTAAGTTACCTTCCTGATCTGCCACTCATGATTTAATCTATTAAATAAAGTGTCAGCTGCCCTTCTCAGGTGTCCTTTTATATCTGTTATCTACAGAATTGCTGTGGTGGCACACAGGAGGCATTGGGGAAAATCTCTTCAGTAGATATTAAGAGCTTTCTAGTTGCCTGCTACTGCAAATGTGTTAACTTTCTTGTTAACCCTGGGAGGTACTTTTTTCTTATATATTTTTATACCTATATAAATGGAGTCTTAGAGAACTAAAATAACTTATCCCAAATCACTAGGAGTATTACATGAGAGAGGCAAGATTCAAATGATGCTTTGTTTAACCCTTATCCCTGTGTCTTACTAAGGGTACAGACTTTGGAGCCCAACACACTTGACTCTGAACTGCCTGCTGCTGACCATGTGACTTCTGGTGAATGGTTCAATGCTGACCAAATAAGAATAAAGCAAAATCACATAAAAATACATTTTGGGCATATAAGTCATTTATTAGTGGAAGCTGTTAGCATGCTAATTTTTGCTCATGTGTGATTTTATTCATCACAAATGTTATTTTTTTTTAATTGTTTTATTATTCATATGTGCATACAAGGCTTGAGTCATTTCTCCCCCCTGCCTCCACCCTCTCCCTTACCACCCACTCCGCCCCCTCCCCCCTCCCCTCACCCCCTCAATACCTGGCAGAAACTATTTTGCCCTTATCTCTAATTTTGTTGAAGAGAGAGTATAAGCAATAATAGGAATGAAGAAGGGTTTTTGCTAGTTGAGATAAGGATAGCTATACAGGGCATTGACTCACATTAATTTCCTGTGCGTGTGTGTTACCTTGTAGGTTAATTCTTTTTGATCTAACCTTTTCTCTAGTTCCTGGTTCCCTTTTCCTATTGGCCTCAGTTGCTTTTAAGGTATCTGCTTTAGTTTCTCTGCATTAAGGGCAACAAATGCTAGCTAGTTTTTTAGGTGTCTTACTTATCTTCACCCCTCCCTTGTGTGCTCTCGCTTTTATCATGTGCTCAAAGTCCAATCCCCTTGTTGTGTTTATTCATCACAAATGTTATTTTTTTGTACAGTTGGTGTATGTGCTATTTTGTCTTAGGTCATTGATAGTTAAAAAACTTCCTAGTTTCTAAGAACTTGTATTTGTAATTAGGTTACACATATATAAAGTAGAACTCTTTAGGATAATTATTTTGTACCTATCTTGTAGTTTTGGAAATTGTTTATATGCCTGTGGATTAAATTACTTACCATTTATTTTTCCACTTGGCTCTCTGATTTATTTGGAAGTAAATCTGGAATTGAGATTCCACCCATGTATTGGGTAGAAAATACGAAGTGCCACATCCCAGAGGAAGCCATCTCTAGTAGATCTTAATTTCTCCATTTTTCTAGTTTTTATAGAATATTTAGAGATTTACTTACATGGCTCTGTTAGCAGAGGTTACCGGACTCCTGAACCCTATTGGTCAATAATCATTTAACTGGAAATCTGAAAATTCTTAAAAATGACCACTTCTCTGGGAGTTTAGAATGCCATAGAGAATGCTTCAGAGCCTAAAAATGGGGTTTTCCCCATTAGAAATCCCTCCATCTGCACTTCTGTACTGAAAATATTTTTGACTTATATATTTAAAAGTTTTGCCTTTTGTTCAGAGATTACTACAGCAGTAGAAGAACTTCACCATTTTGAGTCAAAAGCTGTGATTTTTCTTGATTTTATGGGTTTCTGTGCTCTGAATTCCTTTGTGCTGTTTCTACTTAGTGTATGGTATGACTCCAGATAGCTCATAGGGTTATTTTCTGCTTTTTGCTCCACTTCTCTATATAAATTTTTCCATCACAGTATAGCATGCAAAACTAACAAGGACCAAGGAGCATCTTCTGTTCTTAGGGAGGACTGTGCCTCTGACTTCCCTACTTTGGCCAGGCTCCCAGCACCTCCAGAGTCATTACGAGCTTTTCCTTGTATAGTGATCGTCTGGGTTTTTTCTGTCTGTGAATAAGACTTAGGTTTGATGTCGCCAGTCTTTAGCTGCAGATTGGTTTATGTTTTTCTTACTGCTCTAGCTTCAATAATATCATTCAGTTTGCTTTTCTTGAGATTGGAGAGCTGTCCTTTTGGAATGAGAAACTTTTTTCTTGGAGCTTTTCATTACTGCAATTTTACTTACAGTAATTGTGTGACAAAAAAAAAAAATGACAAAAAGCTACCTGGCTGCTGGTGGCTCATGCCTATAATCCTAGTTACTCAGGAGGCAGAGATCAGAAGGATTGCTATTCAAAGCCAGCCTGGGCAAATAGTTCATGAGACCCTATTTTGAAAAAACCCATCACAGAAAAGGGCTGGTGGAGTGGCTCAACATATAGGCTTTGAGTTCAAACTCCAGTATTACAAAAAAAAAAAAGCTAAGTCATCAGTTAAGAAGTCTGAATTTTGTCCTTGGTGCTCTTTGACACATGGTACTTATTTTTCTTCAGATAAAAGTTTTACACCTCTCTTATTTTAACCTTGAATTTCATCCTTAAGTAAAGTGGATTTAAATGCAGGTTGTATGAGAAGCCTGACCCTGTCATCACTTGGGGCAATCAGCATCTTGACTTACTTACCCTCTGTTCATTGAGTACTCTGAACATCTGGATGTTTTGGCTACTTGATCCCTGCAAAACACATAGAGCTGTCTGCTAACAGTGTACTCATTGTTATAGTGAGGAAACTGAATTTCAGAAAGGTCACATTGTTTCCTTTACACTGCATTCGTAAAATACTCAGAGTGTAGATGTTTCTACTGACTGCTTACTGTGTGCTGAATGCCTGATATAAAGCATCTTATTGAACCTGAGGGTGTTCATAGCCTCCTCAGCTCTCACGGGAGCAAGCGGTGCTTGGGGTGTTTGGTGACTGTTAAAGCCAGACATATTCATATTCCCAGTTTACTGTCTTCACCGCCATTGTCATATTTTGCTCTCTTACCAGCACGTAGCACCTCTGCATCGGGACTCAGGAGTCTCACTATAAAACTTCCTCTGCATGCTAATTAACCCTACGTTCCTCTTTAAAATGGGCTTTAGAAACTGAACTCTAACTGATAACATTTCTTCTATGAAAAGCCAGCGTTTTGGTTTCTTGTCTAGGAGCCAGCTTGGTGGTGTATTAAGGGTCATCTTGAGTATATGTGACAGTCTGTGGGCCTCTTAGACTGTTGGTTTATGTATTGGAAGAAAGATACCTTCTGTTAAGAGTGCTTTATTTTGCTGGGCATAGTGGCTCATTCCTATTATCTCAGCTACTTGGAGGTAGAGATTGGGAAGATCAAGGTTTGAGGCCAGCTCAGGCAAAAGTTAATGAGAACTCATCTCAACAAACAAGCTACATGTGATGGTACATGAGTTGTAATCCCAGCTCCCCTGGATGGATAGGTGAGGAGAATTGCTGTCTAAGGCCAGTCTCTGATAGAAAAGTACAAGACCCTATCTGAAAAATAATTAAAGTAGACTGGACGTGTGGCTGAAAGTGGGAGAGTGTTCACATTGCAGTACTGCAAACAAACTCAAACAAAAGAGAATGCTTTGTGTCATTAGAAGGTAAAGGAGTTTATCATTAGAATATACCTTTGTACTGCTTTTAAATCAAAGTTGTAAAAATATTTTTTTCTTTCAGATTGTACATATATATTTATTCTTCATTCTTCCTTGTAGGTTGGGATAATTCTTCATTATTCTACCCTTGCAACAGTATTATGGGTGGGAGTGACTGCTCGAAATATTTACAAACAAGTCACTAAAAAAGCCAAAAGATGCCAGGATCCTGATGAACCACCCCCTCCACCAAGACCTATGCTCAGGTATCTAATACCTTTGTTGTATTGTTCTAAGTGCTCATTAAATATTTTGCTTGCTTTTGTTGAAGCATCATCATAATATTATAACAAAAATCAATGAGTAAATTTGGGGAAGTAAGCAAATGGGCTTGTAAGTTGGACTGCTTTGTTTTGAATTTGGGCTCTGTGGTGTGTACTCAGTTGGCCTCTGTATCTTCACTGTGTCCCCCAAGCTCATGCTAATTCTACCTCCTAGAGCCACGTGAACAATGAGTGATGTAATGTGTCCTGAACATGGTACCGTGAAATGTTAACTTCTTATTTGCTTGAGGGTCATGCGTCACAGATTTTAATCAGGCAGGAATCATTTAATTATTCTCTACAAAAAATAAAACACATTTGGAATTAGGTCCTTCTTTCTCATTACAATGAAAAGAAGTGTAAATGGGTTAGCTGTTGTACTGGATGAGTAAAAATCTGTCAGTGATGACTGAGTTTATAGAATGTCTAGAATGTGCTTGGTATTGGGCCGGGGACTGAAAGTGCACAGCTCACCCTGCCCTCGCAGAGCTTGTAGTCTGCAGGAGGAGAACTGGCTGTGGACCAGGTAAGAACTGTTGTGGAGGTCTGTTGAAAATGCAAAGACCAGTTGAAAGTGCAAAGAGGGGGGATGATAGGCTATATGTTGAACCATTGGCTTGAGCCTTGCTTTGTGTTAAGGCAGAGGGTAGAGGTACATTCCAAACAGGAGTCAGCTAAGGAAACTGAGAAATGAAGTTTGCTGGAGCCTGGAGTGTGTAGTATGGAGGAGCAGGAATTAAGGGTCAAAGCTGGGCTTGGGGCATTGGAAGTCATATTAAATGTGGACAGCCACTGAAGATGTTTAACTAAGGAAGTAGCCTTATGTGGTATCATTTTAGAAGGACAGTGGGGGTGAGCCTGGAATAGAAATTGGAACGCCCAAGAGTAAGGAAGTCCCTGAGGTTGTTAGTTTCGTCCTTCTGGGAACAGAAGCCAGAAGAGTGTCATAAAGAACAGAGAGAGAATGCCATTCAAGAGACATGAAGCTGTTTCCTTAGGATTCATGACCAAGTGGATTTAAGGGTATGTGTGAGTGAGAGGTTGAAGATGGCTCCAGACAGTCTGCTGGGCTCCTGAATGGGTGATGTTTCCTCAACTGAGAAAATACTTAAGGAAAAGTATAAATTGTGGAGGGGTGGGAGGGTAAGCCTGGTGTTGTTGGGCTCACCAGTGCTTTCTTGTGGAAAGCATACAGTTTTGGAAATTCAGTGCTCAGCAGGAGACATTTCCACAAGCTGTCATTGCAACCATGATAATGAATAGGATCTCCCAGGGAGAAGTTAGTTAAGAAAAAACAGTGATCCCTGAGCCACATCAATGTTTAATGGAAAAAAATCACGGGAAGAAATGAACAAGAACACCTGAGAGTAATGATTATTACTGGGAGCATGGTTCTGTGGAGGGTAAAAGGTTGCAGGGATGCTCATCCAGGATGGTCATGCTGTAGGATGAGGTTGGGTGCCACTATCACTTGCCAAAGAAATGAAGATTCTGTTTCATTTCTAAGAAATGAAAGAGGCCTGGGAATCCTATCCTGCAACAGCTGTTCCTCCTTGTTAGGTACTAAGAAAAAAACACGAAGTGTTAGGCAAAAATGGCATAGGCTTCAAACCCTGTACAGCCCCCAGTGACCCACAGGCACCTGCTAGGGCCTGTGCTCTCCTACTGGTCCCACATAGGGGCTGCCTGTGTTTCTCCTGGTCCCCAGTGCAAAGCACTGAAGCATCACAGTGGAGTTGGAAGCAGCCCTGCCCTAAAGGTGGTAAAGCTAGGCAGAAGATGGTGTCTAACTCCAGGACTTTGAAAGTAAGGGGAGAGAAAGAAAAAGCTCAAGGCAAGTTTTAGAAAATGAGGGAAACTCGCACATATGCATAAGCTAGAAAAAAGAGGCAGTGGAGGAGGAGTTTTAAAAGCTGTGAAGCAAGAGTTCATTGATAACAGGAAGTTCCAGGGAGAATGAAAGGCAAGGGAGGAAGGTAGAAGCCAAAGTAAATTTTGGGAAGGATGCCTTTTCAGGTAAGAAGCTGATGACAATTAGTATGGCAAGAAAATGAGGAAGGGTTTTCTTTTATCTGCGACATAGCAGACACAGTTTAACCATCTCTTCAACAATAACGATATTTTTATTTAAGGAGTTTAGTAACTGGGTGTGAGGTAGAAACAGTACATGGAAAAAACATGTTAAGAACATTGTCTTTTTCCCACCCCTTCAAGATGTGGGACTGTTTCTCAGAAAGTGGCAAATGCAGAAATCAGATTCTGGTTTCACCCATGAGTGCCCAGCTAGAGCAGAAAGTTGTTTTGAGAAGAAACCAGAGAACTCAGAGATGCTCTGGCCATAAGGTTTTTCCTGGTACAACCTGCCACTACCTTTCTCCCTCAGTTCACATCACACCACTGTGTCCTTGGCTTTTCCCAGCTGCTCCATGGGAAAGGAATCAGAGCCCCTGTACTCCGGGAAGCTGCTGGGGTTCTGACACTTTCCTTCCTTACTCTCAGTTGACAGGTGATTGGATACACAGAAATTGGAGGTTCTAGAACCTACAGGCTTAGCTGAACATTAATCACTGATACATCATTGCAATTTTTATCTGAACTCTGGCACAGTAAGATCTTAGTGGCTATTTTGTAACAGAATGACTTTACTGCTGTATCTGAAAGAAGCCACTTCCCTCTAAAAACAAAGCTAAAACCCTATCTGCAAGTGTTTCTCCTCCTGTCCACAGGGTGGCAGGAGGTGACCAACTTTCCACATCTCAGAAACTAACTAGGTCTTGTGCTTTTAAAAAGAGATCCAAAAAACAAGCAAAAGGAACACATGTTGTTGCTAAACTTACTATCCAAAAATTAACTTTCAGTGTATTATTGGAATAAGAGTAATAATTAATCTTCACAGAATGACTTCTGAAGTACTGATTCTGTGATAAATACACCTTAAGAAGTAAAATAATAAGCAGGTGTTCCTGGTGTTCCTCATTCTAGATTCTACCTGATTGGTGGTGGAATCCCTATCATAGTTTGTGGCATAACAGCAGCAGCAAACATCAAGAATTATGGCAGTCGGCCAAGTGCACCCTAGTGAGTATTTTGTGTTCTCTGTATACCTGACCCAATTGTTTCTCTCTTAAGTGTTTCTGGGCACGAATGTTTTAGTTTGCTGAAATATGTAGCATCTAAGCTGGCTCACCATGTTCTCTCCTAGTTGCTGGATGGCATGGGAACCCTCCTTGGGAGCCTTCTATGGACCTGCCAGCTTCATCACTTTTGTAAACTGTATGTACTTTCTAAGCATATTTATTCAGTTGAAAAGACACCCTGAGCGCAAATATGAGCTTAAGGAGCCCACAGAGGAGCAACAGAGATTGGCAGCCAATGAAAATGGTGAAATGAATCATCAGGACTCATTGTCTTTGTCTCTGATTTCCACATCAGCATTGGAAAATGAGCATACTTTTCAGTCTCAACTTTTGGGGGCTAGCCTTACTTTGCTCTTATATGTTGCTTTGTGGATGTTTGGAGCCTTGGCGGTTTCTCTGTATTACCCCTTGGATTTAGTTTTTAGCTTCTTTTTTGGAGCTACGTGTTTAAGCTTCAGTGCATTCATCATGGTTCACCATTGTGTTAATAGGGAGGACGTCAGACTTGCATGGATCATGACATGCTGCCCAGGACGGAGCTCATACTCAGTGCAAGTCAATGTCCAGCCCCCCAACTCCAGTGGGACAAATGGAGAGGCACCTAAGTGCACCAATAGCAGTGCAGAGTCTTCCTGCACAAACAAAAGTGCATCGAGCTTCAAAAATTCCTCCCAGGGCTGCAAGTTAACAAACTTGCAGGCTGCTGCAGCACAGTGTCAGACCAATTCTTTACCTTTGAACTCCACACCTCAGCTTGATAATAGTCTAACAGAACATTCGATGGACAATGATATTAAAATGCACGTGGCGCCTTTAGATGTACAGTTTCGAGCAAACGTGCACCCAAGTCGTCATCATAAAAACCGAAGTAAAGGACACCGGGCAAGCAGACTCACAGTCCTAAGAGAATATGCCTATGATGTTCCAACAAGTGTGGAAGGAAGTGTGCAGAATGGCTTACCTAAGAGTCGTCCAGGCAATACCGAAGGACATTCAAGGAGTCGGAGAGCTTATTTAGCCTACAGAGAGAGACAGTACAACCCACCCCAACAAGATAGCAGTGATGCTTCTAGCACACTTCCTAAAAGTAGCAGAAATTTTGAAAAGCCTGTTTCAACTAGTAGTAAAAAAGATGCATTAAGGAAGCCAACTGCAGTTGAACTTGAAAGTCAGCAGAAGTCTTACGGCCTCAACTTGGCCATTCAGAATGGACCAATTAAAAGCAATGGGCAGGAAGGACCCTGTCTCGGTACTGATAGCACCGCCAATGTTAGGACTGGATTATGGAAACATGAAACTACTGTGTAGCATTACTGGACTTCGTAGACAGAAGTTGACATAAATTGTGATAATCACATTCCTTTAAGCTATGAACATTTAAAAACAGACTGTTTACAGCCACCTTAGGGTTTGAAAACAATTTTGAATACACTTCCAAGTTTTGGATTTTACTTATTTTATATCCCTAAATTTTTACCTTTTTTTAGGAATTTAAAAAAATCCTTTAAAGAATTGTTTTATTTGTTCAAGCACCAACAGGACATTTGGGAATCTGAAATGTAATTTACTAGAATTTGTAATATCTACTCAACATTTCAAGCTTGTATTTAATAAAATAAATAGGTGTTTGTCATTCTGTCACTCTTTTGCTTTTATATTTTATAGTGTAAAAGCATTTAACTCTTTTAATAAAGTTTGTGCAGTGGGACATTTCAATGAGAATCATACAAAAATCAGTTACCAGACACATTACTTGGTTAGCTATACTGATGATACCATTATATCAAAGTGATTTTTGAATTGATGTGTTTTATAAATATAGCCTTAAATGCTTCAGGCTTTGTAAAAAAGATCTCACACAGAGTGTTTTTTTAAAATGGAAATGCCTTTCAAAAACTTTCAAGTTGCATAATTTTGTCACATCACTCTTTGATCCTATTAACATTGATTTCAACACTTTTGTGGCTTTGTGGTGGTTTGTATTTGAGTTGAGTTTTCTTGCTAGTTATTTTTGACATGTGTATGGGTCCCACAGGTGTTATTCTTGAATGTATGTGAACGACTACCATATAATGTTCACATTCACTCATTCTGGATTCTTCAGTATTGTATCTGATGTTGACTTTTGTACTGAAACAGGTAAAGTTCCTTCAGTTCATGATACAATACTAACTTTACATTCTGTTCCAAGTGCATAGCAGCTCTCATCCAAAAGCTGTTATTTGTATCCAGTGCACTGCAGTTCTCACACATTCCTGTCCTCAGTCTCACTGGGGTCCCCAGCTCCCTCTCATGCAAGACAACTCTTCAGCGTTTGCAAAGCTTACATCTATTTTCAGCAGAAATCTAAAGATTTGAATCAAATTAGACTCGAAAGTACGTATTTAAGAAGTGCTAAAAGAGGCAAGCTGCTTAACTTGATAAGCCTCAAGTTCTGAGAGATGAACTGCTTCCTTCCAAAGAGCAATTCTCAGAGCTGCAGAATCCAGTGTCACATCAGTGTTTATTTTCATTAGGATACTGTATTAGAAACAAGTTATTTTGCTTTGCAATAATAAAGCTGATAGTTTTATTTATGATTTTGTTAAAAAGATCATAGCATCATTCATTTTGGTTGGGGAAAAGGTAACCAACCAATAGTTTTGCCATTTGTATGTTTAATATACTTCCTGGCCCAGGGTATTCTGGTAAATTGATGTATTGTGTGCAAGGTGTTATTCAGAAATGACAAGGGTAATCTAATAAATGGAGTGAATAAACCTTATTTCCTTATTAGCAGTTTTATTTTTCTGTTACTTTGCAATTCATTATTATAGTGGTTAACCTGCTTGTCCTGTTGGTCAGCTGTACCTATGGAGAAAATTTTGTTGCCTCTCCTTTTCTTTTTTTCCCCAGCTTTAAAGATTTATTTTATTATATTATTGTTGTATTGAGGGTACATTGTGACATTTACAAAAGCTCTTAAAATGTATCATAGTTGAATTCACCCCCTCCATTATTCTCCTTTACCCCCTTCCCCCCATTCCTGGAATAGTTTCAACATACCTCATTTCTCCATTTACAAACATAAGTATATAATAGTCCACCATATTCACCCTCCTACACCCTTGCCTTACATCCTCCCCTCTCCCACTGGTACCAAACCTCCAAACAGGACCTGTTTGACCTTCCCGTACTTCGTTTTTGAAAGAAAGCATTTTGGTTTGTTTTAGATAGCTATACAGGGAATTTCATTCTGACATTTCTATGTATATGTGTATTATAATTCGACTGGCTTTCCTTTTCCAACCTCCCCGCAGAATTGAGGAATTTCTCTTCCTAGAAATGTTCCCCGTTCAATAAGCACTTAACTAATTTAAGCATAACTTTCTTTAAGTAACAGAAAGAACAGGAGTTGGGGGTGGGGAAAGACCAGAAAAGAAATCAAACCCTTGAAGAAAGGGAATATTCTACACACATGTTCAGGAGATTTTGTTACAGCATAGAGAGTAACGAACAGAGACTTTCTGCATCCTCAGCGTTTGATTGAATTAAAGTTTGATGTTTTACATAGGATTGCCTCTCCCCCCACCTCGGTCTTGCTGCTGGCTGAGATTTCTGTATTTTCATAGAATTCTAAACTGTTTAAAGATAACGTCATTTTTTGTAGTGATCAGTACTTCATTTTCCTGAATTTCTGAGTTGTTGGATGTAATGGCAGGTTCTGCTATATCCATGATGAGGCCTATGTTTCCTGATGTCATGGCCACTGTGCTTGGTACCACCACATTTCGTTGCTTCTATAAGGCTTATTTATAATTTCATCAAACTACTTGCTTTTGGTTTTAGTTTCATAATAAAGTACAATTGGTCGTATTCTACTTAGAAGAGCATACATGATTTATTCTTTTATTCTGTGAAAGGTTTTTTATTCACCATTAACTGTATGATGTACATGTTGTGTACTTATTTACATAAGTTGATGCTATGCTAACCTACTTTTTAGTTAAGAATTAGAAATTTGGTTCATGTCTGAGTACTCCTGTGGTAAGATTTGTATGTTAATGTAAATGTGCATTAATATTTCAGGTCATTAATTAGGTGGTAGCTGATTTCCAAATCTCAGGTATTTTGGATATACACAAAACAATATAGGATATCCATATTTAATATATTTATATAAAGTAATGGATGTAGATGACAATTTATGTATAGATGCTGTTTGACTCATTATGAAGAAATAACAGTGGTAAAAATAGACCTGTATGTTTCAGGCATTGAGTTCAGCACACCCAGTGGAATTTGGTTGAGAACATAAACAATGAGGAAGTAAATTAACTGAAAGCATGTGTTGCAGGAATTAAACTAGATGATCAAGGAAATGGAGGCATACAATAGCAATCCAAAATTTAAAACAATGTTAATTTTGTTTTTCTTTTCATATCCCAAGACTGGTTTTTGTTTTTGTTGTTTTTTTTTAATTGTTTGTTTTGGTCTCACTATGTAGCCCAGACTAACCTTGAATTTGAGATCCTTCTATCTCAGCCTCCCGAATACTGACTGGTATTACAGGTGTGCAACACCACACCACCCAGCTTCATTTAATTTCAATATTATTCTCTACTTTTGGGTTCTGCATCCACGGATTCAACCAACTAAGGATCAAAAATATTTTTTCAAGCACATCTGTACTGAACATGTACAGATTTTCTTGTCGTTATTCCCTAAGCAATACAAGTACTACTTACATAGCATTTAAAATTTATCAGGTATTATAAAGTATGAGGGGGTATGCATAGGTTATGTGCCAGTACTATGCTGTTTTACATATGTGACTTGAGCATCCATGGACTTTTGTATATGTGAGAGATCCTGAGACCAGTTCCCCACAGATACAGAGAGATGTCTATGTTTATTTCAATACTTTTATCTGAGAGACAATTTAATTATTTCTAGTTACTTAATTTAATGTTTCCTAAATTTAAATCATTCCATCACTTTTGCCAATATTGCCATGTTGAGTTAATAATTATATCAGTGTAGTCATGTGAATCAACTCACATTGTTTTTATTGACATGTAAGTAATAATAAGCTCAATAGATTTGTCATTGTTTTTCATCTGTAAGTACTAAAAATCTGACTGTATGTTGCTTTGTCTTAGACAAAGATGAGATTGCAGTCAGTAAGAAGATTTTAAGTTTTGGTGTTAACTCCTATTTAGGAGCCTGAAGTCTTTTATTGGCCATTGAAAACTTGTAGCTCGTGACGATGCTGGAATCTAGGAATATCAGTTGATAAACACATACCATACAGTTTGCATTTTAATTTAGTCTCCGTAGGATGATTAGGTCTGGTCTTTTGACCCCTGTGTATGCAGCCAAACCCCCTTTCACTGGGGATGTCAGAGACTGAGTGTTAAGATATTTAGTATGAATTAACAGGGCCATAGAAGCTCCTATTTCTGCAGGGAGTGACCAACCACTGCCTTCTCATAGAGTTGAGTGCTTTGGATTAATTCCTGCCAAAATCACATTAGACTTTAGTTCAATAGACTGTTGCTTCATGATGTTTGAGACACATATTGGCCTAGTTGTGTCCTTTTATAAAATTATAGAGAAAAAATGTGTATGTATGTTTTATCTATTATCTGCTGCTGCCGTCTGGCTTCATCCATTATCTGCTGCTGCCATCTGGTTTGGGAAGATGCTGAAGACCTTCATCAAAACATCCCAAGCATCTTCACAAAGAACAGCATATTTTCAGAGGGCTCTTCAGATGAATTGCTAGGCCAGTTGTTTCAGCAGTGTAAAGAACACGATCAAATCTTTAGTGTTGTAATTATTGTGTTCACAGTGCCTTGGCATATAATACTAACGAAGGTTTGCTTTGACAGATAGGTGTAGATTGTTCAAATGAGAAATGTGCTGGCAATGTATGATTTTTTGCAAAGTAAGTAGTCATGAGTACCAGTCCAGGCTGAAGAATGGTCAGGAAACATTCCAGAGGAGAATATTGAGCCTCCAGTATTAAACTCAGTGTTTTGTTATCAGCATCCATTCCTTTATGAAACTGAGTAAAAATGTTAACTTAGTAACAACAATACTAATTGCTTAGGGAAGTTGTTTTTAATGTGTTTTGCTTTTTTTTTTGTTTCGAGGTAGGGTCTCACTGTGTAGCCCAAACTGGCCTCAAAGTTGTAATTCTCCTGCCTCAGCCTCCCAAGTGCTGGGATTACAGATACTCACTACCATGCTTAGCTTGTTTGTTTGTTTTCAGCTGTACTGGGGTTTGAATTCAGGGCCTTGTGCTTGTTAGGAAGATGCTGTGCCACTTGAGGCACACCACAGCCCTTATTTTTTGTTGTTTAACTTCCATGTTGAGTCTGGACACTTCTTTATAAATACAGCATTTTAGAGCCTCAATGCAATAAAAGCTTCCCACTGAATTAAAAGTCTAATGTGTTAATCTGGCCGCTTACCTCACCCAGGCATCTTCCATTTTGTGACTGTACCCTCCTTTAGGGTCTTCCTCAGAGATTGGAGGATTTTATGGATTAGACATTTTATGGATTACTACCTGTGGTCCATTGGCCAGAACACCATCATAGCCACAGTTAACTGCAAAGGAAATCAGGAAGTGTAGTCTGGCTCTATATCCAGGA